GTTGGTAGTGTGGACTCTGGATGGAGATCAGTTAATCGAATGGATAGCCATGTGTACACAGCTGCTTTTTATGTCTACTGCCAGCTGGAAAGGTCACCTGTGTAGCTGAGATGCTTTGCTCTACAGTTGGCTCCACAGCCCTGGAGAAATATCAAGCAATCACTGACCTTGGGCTCTGTATTTGAGGTCCCTACTGAGGTTAAAAACAAAACAAACAAAAAAAAAAAAAAACATGAGTTGGAAAATACACATGAGGACATTTCAGCCTTAATTCCATGAAAAAAGTTACATCCCTGGACATCAAGGCCCATGGGAGAAAGCAATGTTGCATAATTTGTCCCAGACCAGTGTCAATGAGTTGTTTCCTTGAACACCTTTAGAATGATGTCAACAGAAAAGACCCATGACGATCAGAACTCATGTGGATTCACTCTGCATGTTCTATTCCCAAGTACAAATCAGAAAACATCAGCTTTTTCTGTACAGAATCCACTGTTTTCTCTTATGCAATTTTACTGTGTTAAAGTTAAAACCTTCCTTTTTATTTAAACAGAAAAGGGGAGGTGATGTGGAAGTCTCCACTGTGTGCTGGGGTTACCCTTAATGAATAAAGGAACTGATTTGGACCTATAGCAAGGCAGAACTTAGGTAGGCAGGGAAATCTAGGCTGAATGCTGGGAGAAAGAAGGGTGAAGTCAGAGAGATGCCATAGAGCTGCTGCCAAAGATAGACATGCTGAAACTTTCCTGATAGGCCATGACCTCCTGGTGATATACAGATTAATAGAAATGGTTTAAATTAATGTGTAAGAGTAAGCCAATAAGAAACTAGAGCTAATGGATCAAACAATGATTTAATTAATATAGTTTCTGTGTGATTATTGCTGGTCTAAGCTAGCCAGATGGCCAAAAAACAACAAATGGTGCCTCCTCTAATATTTTCCTTTATTCAGAAAGATCAAACCTCTCTTTATCTCTTTTGTGTCTTTGCCAGGTTTATATTTGCTAGATGTTAGATATTACAAAAGTGTTGTGTGTGTGAATCTTTCATTATAAAATAATGGGCTTCCTTAGAATGTTTTCTTTTTCCACTCTTTCTCCCTTCCCACCCACTCTCTCAGTTTTTGAAACAGAATTTTTTGTGTAACCCTCAATATCTAGAACTCACTATGTAGACCAGGCTGACCTTAAAATCAGACATCTGTCTGCCTATACCTCTCTTGTGCTGGGTTTAAACTGTGGAGCCAACAGGAACTGACGGTTGCTTTCACACATACATATATAAACATATATACATATAAACACATATATATTTGTATGTGTATATATGTATATATAAGCAATTTGTTCTCAATGTGACTCTACAAGAAACAAGATCCATAAATATTATTCCCAACAGAGAAAAGAGAAAATCCAGACAGATTCACTGCCAAATCTACTGAACTATGAAGTTAGAGCTAACCGCTGAAATCTATTCCTAGCAACTACATCGTGCAGTTAATAATAATAAATCTGCTGTAACTCTACCACCTAAAGGATCTTCCACCATCTTCTGACCTCTATGGGCACTTACATGCAAATAACTCTACACAGACATACACAAATAGTTTTAAAAGTAATAACAATACATAAAAGACAAACTAGAGTTACATACATTTATGAGAACTTCTGAAACTCACCAGTCTGTTTACTAACATAAAAGTTTTATAAAGGGTTAGTATATAATATATACATATATATTAACCTCAATTAATACCTCTTCCTTGCTAGGCCTGGAGTTGGTTTGCTTTCCTTCTTAAGCTGTGTTAAGGAACTAACTCTGCTGATGGAATAGCTTATGGTTTGTTTTTTTTTTCAGTTCAAATTTGTTAGACCTCATGGCCCATATGAAGGCTCTCAGTGGAGTCTGAAAAGGTTGTCTATTGGGTTGAACTTCTCTGTAGGCACCAGAAGGAATCAGTTCCCCTTAGAAGGTTTCTAGCTCTCAGGTTAGGATACCTCCTCAGAATAATTGTATTATAGAGAATAGCAATATTAGGAGGTATAGCCTTGTTAGAGTAGGTGTAGTATTGTTAGTGGAGGTGTTTCACAGTGATGGCAGGCTTTGAGGTCTTACGTGCTCCAGCTATGCACAGTGTGGAACACAGATCACTTCATGTTGCCTGCAGATTAAGATAAAGAACTCTCAGTTCCTTCCCCACCATCATATCTGTCTTCACACCTCCATGCTTCCCATCATGATGACAGCCATCTAAACTTCTGAAATTGTAAATGCTTTCCTTTTTAAGAGCTGCCATTGATTTGGTGTCTCTTAGCAGCAATAATAATCATGACTAAGAATGAAGATCTAAGGAAGTAATTTCACGTGTTAAAAGTTGTAAAGGTAAAAGAATGTGAACACTTAATTTGTGAACAAAGACAAAGGGATTTGATGTGTGAAAAGGATATGGAAAATAAATATTTCATATTTATTTCTCTCTTTTATGTTATTGTTCTACTAAAATTTCAAAGTTTCAGATTCTTAACATTAATTAATAGAGTTCTGATAAGCTTTAGTCTAGTCTTGAATACATACTACCCACTATTATCATAGTCACAAGCTTAAAAAATATAAAATCCCTTTGGCTATTTCTTTGGTATAGATTTAAAGGTGCTTCTCATTATCCTGAAATTCTTTATATATCCATCCCTCTATAAGAAAAAAATGTTCATTCTTTAAACACTATACTTTTGTTATAACTCTAAGGCATGAGTCTACTATAGTTGTTTTACAGATGCCTGTTTACTGCTATCTCTACCATTAGAATTTCAGTACAGATTATAGCCAGTGGCAATGCCAATATATCCAAAACTTTACCATTTTTTGTAAACTAAAAAATAAATCTTGTAAGCTTCAAAGAGTCATAACTTGGATCAAACTGTCACTGTTGTTTGACCTGTGACAGTTTGTGCTGTGTTGCAAACAGACTCTAGATAAGTACTGTGTACTCTTGTCTATCAACAGTTTAAGCATATCCATCTACTTACTGCCCATTCCTAAGGTGAGCTCATTCTCTCTCTCTCTCTCTCTCTCTCTCTCTCTCTCTCTCTCTCTCTCTCTCTCTCTCTCTTTCTCTTTCTCATCTTTATTTGCTTGCTACTCCTTGTCTTCAAACTACTATTACACTCCAACTACGAGGAGCAAAAGTATAGAAAATTTAAGGGTATAGCCATGAAAAAGTTTTTCCATTAAGTTCTTTAACTTTACATTTTTTTCTCTGAATTTGTTTCATCAGATATCTAATCACTTAAAGAATGCAAACTGCTCCAAATTAAAACCATTTAGTCATATATTTACTGAAAAATATCAATGCAAACTAGGTGCTTCATATGGAATTTCTAACTTGAACCAGAATTTTCAGACTGCTCCAAAGCTATTTGCACTTTTCTAGCCACAGGTGGTTGGTCACCCAGAAACTGAAAAGGAAGCAAAGACATGTCACTCAGGCTGCACCCTTCTCCTTCCTAGCAATCATGATCAGCACTCTTACCTTCCCAGAAGCTGACCACAACATCCTATCTTCAGCTAAGAAACAGTCACAGATAGATTACAATGGACTTTATCATTAAAAAAAGAAAGAAGGAAGAGAAAATAAAAGCTGGTATGTCAGACAAAATGATAATACTGAAAAATGGCTAATTGTAGTGTCTCTTAGCATTCCAAAGTGAATGCTGACCTTCAACCTCTTTGGGCTAGTACGTGCTATAAAGTCCACACATGTATCTAATATCCTGGTTAATTTTAGCTCCTCTCACACCATGCCCTATGGTAAACTTCTTCAGTTCATGGGTTTCCTTTCCTCAACTTCTGACCCCTACATACCTCTCCTTTCTTGGTTCTCTGTCTATTCTTGTTTTCTTTCTCTCTCTTTCTCTCTCTCTCTCTCTCTCTCTCTCTCTCTCTCTCTCTCTCTCTCTCATCTGTGTCTCTGTTGGTCTGCTTTTCTTGCTCCCTATATCATGGACTGGCTGTTTCTGCTGACCATGTTCTGTCTACTAATTTCACTCCCTGCTCTGGACTCTTGCAGATACCTATGACTGTATTCTCAATCATGTTTACCAGAAAAACTTCCTCTTAACCATAAAATAGAAAGGCAATATTGTGTTCTTTCTCCCATCTGCACATTCAGATTTAGTATAAGTGAGTCTATATAACATATGAGCAGAGGGGGATTGTGTTGGAAGAAAGTACTAACAGGAGCAAAAGAATAGGACTGGACAGGAGAGAAGAAATACTGAGTAAATTACAAAGATGTGCATGTATATATCATAGTTTCATAATGAAATCCATTATTTTATACATTCACTAAAAATTAGCAAAAAGTAGAAAATGTGAAATGCAAGTATAATATATTGAGCAGAAATGTATGTTTATAAAGATCTTACAACATAGGTTATTTGAATGAGGTTTCAAAGTCTCCAATACAATTTATTTCTTTTGCTTAAATGTCACAGAGTAAAAATTGTTTGCAGTTTCTTGTAGTTTTTATGTGTAAAATATTACCAAGATTGTTTTTAAGCTGGAATTCTATGAAGCAAACTGGAGTTAGCTAATAATGTATAACAAACCAGTAACACAAAAAGCAAAATGACTTAAGACTCCGTCATTCAGGGCTGGAAAGATGAGTCAGAGCTTAAGAGCATAGTACTATCCTTATATATGAGCTGAGTTCAGTTCCTATGACACAAGCTGGTAGCTCACAGTAATAAGTAGCTGCAATCCATGGAACCAATGCAATCTTCCGGTCTCTGAAGGAACTACACACTGAAATGTGTACACACACACACACACACACACACACACACACAACTCAAACTGCCATTACTCTACTACTACTGATATTAATATTCCTACTAGTAATTATTTTAAGACACCACAATTCAGTAATAGAATTTATTATAGGACCACACCCAGTCATTCACATATACAACAGACAGGAAAATAAACACTATTATCCACACATGATTTAAAGGTTTTAATAATTTATTACCATGGGAAAAGGCTTGGAGAAAAACCAGCCATTCTTTCCTGGAATACTTTATCAAAGGTCTCAGCTTGGGCTACTGTAAAGTGATTCTTCCAGTCCCCAGTTGTGCCTGGAAAACGTGAAGCAGACACAAAGATGCATTATAGATGATCTTAACACTGCTCTCTCTCCTTCCATCTCATGCTCTTAAACATCTTCTTGACAAGGATCACACAGCTCATAAAGAGGAACTAGCAGTAACTCTATGACAAATATTTCTGATGCATTGAAATAATATACATTGGACCTCTTTGGAAATAATGTCCCACCTTCTCTTATTCTTACCTTATCAACTACATAGTCTAATAGCATCGACACGAGCCCTACCTTTTCCATGCCCAGATTATTCCTGCTTCCCAATATACCTATTTCTATCACACTACCCAACCAGACTTTCTTATCACTATTGTCCAAACAGATGTCAATTGTTCTTTCTACATTTTAGTGTTTACTTATACAAGTTTTGCAAAGCACGAAGATAATTTTTAAAATATCATTTAAAACTGATTTTATTTATGTGTGCATAGGTGCACATGAATACAGGTGCCTGCACAGTTTGGAGATAAAAGATCTCGTGGAGCTGGAAACACACACAGTTGTGACCTACATGGCAGTCATCTTGATGACTCCATCAGATGTGGGAGACCCAGCAACTGCCCACTGTGAATGGCCAATGATTTCCCTTTTCAGTTATTATGTTGTTTAGTGATGCATGAAGATACACATAATTTCATCCCCTGTCCTTTATGCAAAATTTGGTTTCTCATCAATGCATTCTAATGTTCCTTTTGTTGAAATGTTGAATTATCTAACTGCTCACACTGCATTCCATGTTCCTTCATTATGGAGAGCTGATATCATCCACATATTCATTTCTCGTTCTTTTGTTTCCTTATTACTGCCACTGTAATCATCTCTTTCAACATGTCTTACCTCCGTGTAGAATCCTGAAGCCCTTATTTGTGCTGTATTTCATTTTCATAGTTGTGATGCATTGATATGCTCCACATATTTCCATTTTGTTACAGGTTTAGAATATGTATCTAATATATTTGAAAGGTAAAATGATTCTTATATTGACAAAGGCTTCATTAATTAAAGCATATCTGACATATAGAAAATGCTCAGTATGGGCTTGTTGAGAGAATTAATCAAAGGGTGAGAAAGATTTTGGCATTTTATTCATTTTGCTGATGAAATATTAGCTCTTGAGATGTTACTTAGCATGGTAGTGATAGACTCAGATTTGAAACGAAAAAGATTATCAATGGAAAATATGTTTTTCTTATCAATTTACTTTCTGTAACTATCAAGTAAGTTCATTGTAAATCCATAATGGCATTTATAAAAGAAAATATAAATAATTTATAATTAAATGATGCTTATTGATATATCATATTCATATAATATACTATTAGTTGAAATGACTATAAGAGTGTCACCTGTTAAGATAGGAGTCTATCAGTATCCATTGCTAAAATCATCTTCATTATTATCTTCATCATTAGAAAATATTTTATTACTGTTTCTCACAGTATGTCTGGATCCCAGTAAACAAGACTGGATGCTGGCCTGTTAGAATCTCAGCAATTTTAATATAACTGCCCACTGGAATGATTAAGTGCAGATGAGGGAAGCATGTTTGCAGGTACACATATGAAATTCTAAGTCCAAGTATGTCAAAATCCTGTGCACCTAACAAGCAGATATCTCTCTTCATTTGTTCTTCCTAAAAATATCCTTAAATTCTACTTTGTCAGGGAGCAGGAAGGCACTAATTTGTGATGACTTAGCTTTTTTGGAAAGGAACTTCCTCATAGTTGTAGAAGCTGTAGGTCTCACAAAATATTATTGCCTAGACCTTCCCTGGCTTTTCTTGTTCTGCAGATAATGAGTTTCCCTTTAGATCTTCTTCCCTCTGTGTCTCAGATTAATGACTTTCAGGACACCATTGAAGATAATTATTGACTAAGAACTTTGTCTAGGAAACATCTATTGTGAAGTAATGAGGGCCAAAACCTTTGAAGTTTGTCAGAAGACATTTTTTCCAATGTCTTGATTATGAAAATGTCTTCATAAAAGTTCCGTCAAACAAAAAGTAAAAGATTGGGCTTTAACATCTCTTTTTTCTCTATTTCCTGAAATATCTAAATATGGAATCATAATGACCAAAATTGTTTGTTGAAAATTATGGATTACTGTTTAAAACCAGTTTAATCTTATCTAGCCAGATGATAAAGTTTCACAGGTAGAGAGTAGATTTTCAAGTAGCTCTTCAGCAGCATGAAAAGATATTTTTCTATATCCTGAGAAGAACAACTAAGAAAATTTAAAAAGATCTAGCATGTTCCTCTAGTATAACACTTAGCACAACTTTTCATGCACTGTGATTTAGAAATTTAGGCATATTGGGTAAACATGAAATTAACTTTAGAATTAATCTTTGATCTGCTAATACCTTCCAGATTGCAAAAGTAAGCAATCAGATGTAGGAATTTACAAGGTGAACTTTATCCTCGTGCATTTTATTTTTTCAAAAATATTTCCAAACATAACTATCTCAGCATCCTCTATACAAAACTCATGAACCATGATAGGGAACATGAAGTTGATTTCCCCTTCAATGACCTGGCTTCAGTGGTAATCATGGTTTATCTTGTATGTTATTACAAGGAAAATAATTTCCCAAAATAAAAGTTACATGCCAATGCAAAAGAAATGGATGTCACATATAATTAGTATGATAATTTAATTACAAAAGTCTTATAGTGATATATCAAATTATTTGACAGAACTAATACACACGCACACACACACACACACACACACACACTTCCTCCTCAGGTATCTCTGATATATGAAAAATTACATGTTTTGGAAGAGAATAAACTAAAATCCTATTGTATTTTCATACTAGAAAAATCTTCCTGGAAAAAAGAAAATGAGATTTTTTCCTCATGAACTTGACTCCTAAATTCTATAACATTTGTTCCAGCGTGTCTGCGACAAAATATTTGCTTTCTTTTCTTTTCTTTTTTTTTTTTTTTTGCTTTTTGTTACTTTCCATAAACTTCCCTATTAAACAATCCATTACATAAGTTTTGGCATTTAATTACAGCCCCTTTTTTCCCACATACTGTTTTACTTCTGTCAAATACTCATTCATTACATTAAATCCAAGAATATGCAATTTCTCTTAAGTGAGACCTTCAATTCTAGCACAGAGAACTCTGTCCTACAGAGTCTGGATTACATACTCTGAGGTTATCTGTCAACAGCAATGGAATCTTAATGAGGACTTAGTCCTTAGTATATAGATGGCCATATCCTTGGAGGTGACGAGAATGTGTGCTCAAAACTGAGTCCAAATATTCTGTTGTAAGGACAACAATATTATTGAATAAAATGAAATCTGCTAACCTATTTATATTACTTATCTCTATGTATAATCCAGATATCTTTATATTCTAGCATGTAGTAAGAGGTTGCTTGTAGGTTCCTAGCAGCCCAGCTATCTTAGACCAGAAATAATCACACAGAAACTGTATTAATTAAATCACTGCTTGGCCCATTAGCTCTAGCTTCTTATTGGCTAACTCTTACATATTAATTTAAGTCATTTCTTTTAATCTGTGTATTGCCATGTGGCTTTGGCTTACCAGCTAAAGTTTCAGCTTGTCTGAATCTGGCAGTGGCTCCATGGTTTCTCTCTCTGACTCCACCCTTCTTTTTCCCACCATTCAGCCTAGCTTTCCCTACCTACCTAAGTTCTACCTTGTCCATAGGTCCAAAGCAGTTCCTTTATTCATTAATGGTAACCACAGCACACAGAGGGGACTCCCACATCACTAGTACTAGATTCTCAAATGGTAGGGTGGAAGAGAACCATAGGTTAAGTCTGAAGCACGTAAATTATTGGAAGAAGAAAATTAAACGCACAACTCTTCACTTTCTGCATCTATACCCAATTCCTTACATATCCCCAAAGACCTGACATATGACTCCCTCCTTCTTCAACCTAGAGTCTCATATCACCAATTATTTGCAAATTAAGTTTAGGTGAGACTTCATGTATGATTCATTGTTGCAAAATTTCTCCTTAAGTTCACAGCTATGAAACCACACCCACGGCCTTCTCCCAGCATAGAGAGGTAGTAGAGACATAGAAAAGATGAACATTCTCATTCCAAGAGAGATAATTCAGAACAAAGATAGTAGTTCTGAGCCTGAAGCAATCCCAAATTAGGTTGGCAAATGCCATCAAATTTTAACACTGATGAATAATTTGCTTAGTTTTATGGTGTCTACTATCTATCACCAAGCAATCTTCGCGAGTTTAACATCTTTTCCAGTGACTCGTCAAGTGTTTTTTATGATTATGATCTCAGATATTTCTTTGGCCCATGAGATAAACATTTTCTTTAGAGTTGAGATCTAAGATACAGACAGCCTTGGTGCGACATGTCTACCCATTTGCTTTTCATACATGGCATTGGATACAACCATTTGCAATCACAAAATGGACTCACAGAATAAATAATATTTTTAGAGTTTCAGAAGCCCACATCATCACTATGGAAAGATTCTATCTAAGATTTTTGAGAAACTATGAGTGATAAGAAATATCTACTGATACATTACTGAGAACTTCTCAGTGTTTCAGTGGCACTATAATCAACAGGCATGTTCCAACATAATTTGTAGCTCAAAAGTTTCTTCACCTTTTCTCATAAGAATCAAATCTTTAATAATTATATTTTCTGGGAGGACACTATAATTAGACATGTTGTTTTCTTTCATGGCTTGGAAGGAGCTATACTTGAGGACCAAATCCAGCTCATCTAGCTCCAATTTCTTTCCAAGAAAATCACAGATCTTCTCTGTAGTTCCCCTTGTATCCTGAAACAAAAGGAAACAAAAAATGAGGGTAAGAAACATAAATCTCTGAAAGAATAAATGTTGTGAATAGGACTGTGGATGTAGGAGAAAAAAGAGACATAGGAGAGAGCCATGGTCCTGCCTCAACTTGATATACCAGACTTTGCAGACATCCCATGGGAGACCTTATCTTCTATGAGGAGTGGGTGGGTTTAGGATGCAGGGAAGGTGGATGGAATTGGGAGGAGTGTAGTGAGGGGGAACTGTGGTTGGTATGTAAAATGAAAAAAAAATCTTTTTAATAGAAAACTAGTGAATAAAAAAGAGGCAGGAAGAAAGAAATGGTACCATTAAACAAAACAAAAAGTACTAAATGGGACTTAGAAATGAAAGAGGACACTTAGAGGGGACAGTAGTTGGTTTGCAATTTGGCTGGACCTACAAGACAGAAGCCCCGTTTGAGGTGTAGATCCACACAAGTCCTAAAAAGAAGCCTAAGAAAAACAGAGGGCGTCTAAGCCCACAAAAATGGAAGACAATCACAGCTTCTTGGTAGCTGCATTTTTTTTCAGACTGGCTCTTGTTATAGGAAGACCACTTGTTTGTTCCCAGCTTCTCGGACCTGAAATAACCACACAGAAACTATATTATTCCCAGTATTGTTTGGCTAATAACAATATTAAACATATTTCTGGCTAAATCCTATATGCTAAACTAACCCATCTCTATTAATTTGTCTATTGCCATGTGACTGTAGGTTACTGGTAAAGTTTTGGCATGTTTGTTTCTGGTGGTGGATTCATGACTTCTCCCTGAATCTGCCTTCCTTCTCCCAGTATTCAGTTTAGTTTTTCCCACCTAGCTCTACTCTACCCTATCAGGACAAGCTAGTTTCTTTATTTGTTAACTAAGCATATTCACAGCATACAAAGGAGAATCCCACATCAGGCTCAGTTTGCTGGAATCAAGCAAAAGTGTGGCTCTTTTAAAAAAAATGCTTCCTGAATCAGCATTAGAACCAAAAACTGAATGACATCTTTGGGAAAAGGCTTCCTGGATGTGCTGTAGCATGAACTTTCAGGAGATCTTACCACTGAGCATATAAATGGAGTTTGTTAGCTACGTGCTTCAGTTGCTTAAAGGTATCATAGATCCAGAGTCCCTTGAGCTGAGGCAGTGAGTATGGCTTGCAGAAGCAGTGAACCTACCTCTGCTGTGTTGGGCTGGGTGGAGACAATGGGCAAGGCTTGGGAGGTGATCCTAGCCATACCCACTTAGTATTTTATAAAAGGTGCACCTGATCAGACAATGCTTATAGATATGCAATAAAGCCAGATTCAGACAAAAATAAACCTCTGAATGGGTCACAGTATGTCTAAAAAATGTATGTAGGCTTGGGAAAGAGTAGAAAAAGTATTTAGACAAGAGTATAGACAGCCATAGATTAAAGCAGTAAAGATAATAAAATAAATATTAAAAAGTAATAGAGTAATATAAAAATATGTGAAAAATGGAAAATACAGAGAGTCTGGATTGTAAATATTATTGTGTTTTCCTTGAATTTTTAACTGTAATGAGATTTATGATTCTGGGGATTGCTAAGTTAAACCAGTATATTTATTTTAAAGGTATCTTGGCTTCAAAATTTGAGTCTAAGGCTATGTTACCTTGGAAAAGAGGTTTTGCTTTTGTTTCTACAGAGAATGAGAATGTACAGATTCAGTCTAGGCCAATATAGTTTGATAGAATAAGAGACCCCCAAAAGGTCTCCAAGAACCTTGAAATACTTCTCTCCACAAAGTGCAGGAAGTACTTTAGAAAAGAACCTACACACAAATTCATAAAATGATTGCTTATAAATAATTATTTTCATTTAAAGGGAGTTGAATAGAAGTGATTAAAGGTCAGCCAAGTTCTAAAAAAAAATAAGGGGAATATGATATAAAGGTGAATACTTTTCATTGGTTTATATCTTGATCTATTAATACAAATTTAAGATTGATTTTGTTACACTTTATGTACACACACATTTCTGCTCTTGTTTCAGGTATTATGTTTCTGAAATTCATTTAAAACTGTAATGAAATACAGATTAATAGATAACCATCTGTAATAACCAAACATTTAATTTTGCTAGTTAGGTTTTCTAGATATATAGAGATATATTTTAGTTAGATTGATAATATTCAGCACTCTAAAGACCTACATAATATGGCATTTAAAAGGATTTAAGAATTTAGGCTTATCTCAAAAGTGAGACATATCTGCTTCTGGTAGCACCAATCTACTTCAAGAGGTTTATAGCCATTGAAAAAGACTCATTATGGAATTTGCGCTCAGTTTGACAAGATTAGCAATTTAGGCAAGAAACTACTCTTGCCTGGACTGCTTGATGAAATGCTGTATGAAGTCATGCAGAATTCACAGAAAAGTGAATGCTAAACTTTCCAAAATATGGCATGATCATTCAGGGTTCCTGCTTCATGAAAGAGTCTGCCAGACATTCTACAGGACACAGAAGAAAGCAACTGTTGGATTTTGACATTACAAGGCAGAATAAATCTTCCATTTTCCTGCCTTATGAAAAAGTCTGCTGGATACTATGGGTCTATAGGATGACGATAGATGCCCCAACATTACAGATGAACTTTTGGTGACAATGAGATTTCTCTTTCCATTATGGAGTTTTAGATGTTACTTACAATGTACTTCCTGCTTACTTAGTTTATATTATATCCTTTTGTGCCTTTGAAGAATTGAAGACAGATAGTTACAGTTATAATTTTCCTTATTTATGATAAAAGATAAATTAGTTATAAAACCTTAAACTTACAAAGATAGGATAGTTGATGGAGTATAATTTGCCAAATGTAGATGGACTAAATATTGTAACTATTATTCTTGCTTGATAACTGTTTTGTATATGTAAATTTACTATGTTAAAGCTAAAACTTTCCTTTTCATTTAGAAAGAAAAGGAGAGGTGGTATGGGATTCCTCTCTGTATGCTGTGAATTTGTTTTATTATCATTGACTTATAAAGAAGCTGCTTCATTGTATGGCAGGTCAAAATAAAGTCAGGTGGGAAATTTGAACAGAGAGGGAGTAGGTGGAGTAAGAAGATAACATGTAGCTGCCAAAGATGACAGATGCACAGAACCTTACCTAGTAAGACACAGCCTTGTGGTGATAGTGATACTCAGATTAATAGAAATGGGTTAATTTAAGATGTAAGAGGTAGTTAATAAGAAACCTGAGCTAATAGGCCAACCAGTGATGTAATTAATATAGTTTCTTTATGATTACTTGGGTCTGAGCAGTTGGGAAATAAATGAGTAGTCTCAGATTACAAGGCTAGGATGTCTTTTAGGTAGAAGAGGATACTAGAGTGAGAACCCCATATAGCTGATGCTCTCCTCAAGCTTTCATTGTAGGGAATGAAGACCTTGAACATCTCATTTGCCTTCTTCTTTATCTATAGTGTTGTATTCACAGGTATGCTAACACACCTACTAAATGCAATGGGATGCTTCTTCTTGAGACAATATCTCCGGAACCCTGCCTGGTGAGATGGAAATTGCTATGGGAGGCCAAACTGACCTCAACATCAAAGAGGTCAGAGATTCATGTACCTGGCTTTGCCTCCTAAGTGCTGGAATTAATGGTGTATATCACTATAGTCAACCTGTCCTCAGTTTCTTTAGGAGACTAGAAATAATCCTAGAAAGTGATGGAAATGAAAGCAACGTGCAAACAGAATTTGAGAGAGATTAATGGTTTTTTTTAACTATTAAAAGGAAAACATTTAATTGAGATGGTGGCTTACAGTTTCAGAGATTCAGTCCATTATCATCATGGAGGGGAGCATGGTGACATGCAGGCAGACATGGTGCTGGAGGAGCTGCTACATGTTGATACGCAGTCAACAGGAGTTACACTGTCTTTATGGATAGCTGGACCACATATGAGACCTCAAAGCCTACCTCCACAGAGTCACATTTGCTACAACAAGAACATACCATCTCCAACAAAGCCATATCCCTTAACAGTGAAGCAAACAATATTTGGAGACTGGTAGACACTGAGTGTCTGACAAGCAGCAGGCATCAAAGAACCTTCACCCAGTAAGTGAACGGCTGTGCTTGGGTACTCCCTGTGTTTACTACTGGAGAGCCAGGTGTATGGCTGGGGTGTTGCTGCTGCTTTAAAAGAAAATGTACCCCAAAGGGAGTGGCACTGTTAGGGGGTATGGCTTTGTTGAAGATTAATGTTTATACCATATATAATACAACTGACAATAATATAGTTTTAAAACATTTTCACAATAATGTTCTCAATTATTATTATTTGGAAATACTTTTGGGAGATTTTATTTTGTTTTGAGTTATGATCTCATGCTGTAACTCAGTTGAACATTACATTCACAATCTTTCTGTTTCAGATACTTATGCTAAAATTATAACTGTGTTCTGCCATGACTAGATCAATCCTGGGAGACAATCATAATTGACAGAATCTTTGCTGGCGACATCTCTCTTAATTCTAGTCCTTTATTGGGTCCTTAAATATATTACTGAATCAAAACTTTCATTACACATTTTATCACAACTTCCCTTAATAATTCACTGGAGTGTAAAGAACCATGGCAATAACTGAGAAGAATGTGTTGAATGCTTGAAAAGAAGACTTATGGGAAACTGTATTACCCTTCAGGAAAGAGAGCTGGGTAATTAAGCTTACTAAATAAAGTTGAATTTTATAATGAGAATGTAAAAAAATTTACAAACTCAAGACAGTCTTTGGTTTTGTTAATTATGAGAAAAGTTAGTGTTCCTAGAAGAAAACATTAAGAGGTCAAAATCTTTTTAAATGATCCAATTTCCAGTTTTTATTGCTCTTTAATTTCATGAAAAATTACTTTTCATACTCCTGTCAGGGAAGTCTGTTGTCTGATAGCAGATTTTTACCTTTTCTCATGCTCTTTCAGATCCAATCCCCAAGTCTACTTCCCAATTCTGTCAC